TAAATATGTTGTGTATTGTGAAGTTTTTGTAAATATTTATTTGTAAATGTTTATGTTGGTATTGATTATTTGTAAATATTTGTAAATACTCATTATTTGTAAATATTTATGTAAATTGATTATTTGTAAATATTATTTTTGTGAACATTTATTTGTAAAAATATTTCATCGTTTGTATTAACTATGTCGAGTACATGGCACTATTGGTTGTTTGTATATGGCAATAGCACGTGCGTGAAAATTTTGATGTTTGTACATCATTAGAAGATTTATAATACTGATCACCTTCATCATAGGTATATATGGGGCGGAAGAACCAAACAGAAGGCAATATCCACAAAAATGGAGCATTTTCAGAAATGGACATAACATAATAAAGATGATAGTAATGGCAATATGTATATATGATACAATAGCAACTGTACAAAAACACTCAGAAAATGTTCTGAAGCCGTTCTCGTATGAAGCAAGTGTACATGAAATAAAATATATGCTGACTTGAATGGCACTATAAACAATTTCCCTTGGGTGAAAAAAATCCGAGTGAGTAATTTTCTTGCGAATAAAATGAATGTAGTGATGTGCATAGATGAAATTGGTGGTCAAGTTGGCTTGATGATAAGCATTGTGACGATGCCAAGCACATAAGCAGCCACAAGTTTTTGAGGCACAGACAGGTGAAGGTAATTAGGCAGTAGCGAAGGTAAGTTATCGCCTTGTGTGGGTAACATTAGCGCACCGATACACATCAACGCTGCTACTACGGCTAACCAATGTGATGATGAACTCGAAACAATCGGTGATACAGTAGTCTAAACTTGCAAAGTCTTGATTAGTTGCTCGCAGAAAATATTACTTTAATTCAATCAGTGGGTGGATGAAACGATCGATAGAGAANTTCATTCGATTATTCATTCCAACTGCTCACATTATCACAGATTTACATATGGTTCCACATTGTTCATAACAATTAGTTAAAACACTTGGACTGGAGAACTGGCGATTATCAGAATCTCTTTAGAACAACACGATCGTTTGAACGGCAGCAATAAGAAGCATAAAATATACCGGGGCTGTTGGGAACGCATACTGAGGCGAAGTAAGTGTAGATTGACCGTTCGATGGAAAGCTCGCATGAAAACTGGATCGGTCGAAGGCAGACGGACGTGCGAAACTATCAGCTGGTGCGTTTTGCAACAACCTTACCACAACATCCTTTCGACCGCACAGCTGGAAATTGAAGGAAATTTTTAAAGTACAAGACTTTCTCGATTAGATAGTATGCAGATTAAGTTTACTGAGTGAACGAGATAAGATCAAGTGATATAACTGATAATGGTTTACCTCTTTATCGCCATATTTACAAGTCTCAAATCTGAAACGATCTGTAGTACCAATGTTGGAACGGATGTGTGCTTCCAAATGCCGGATAACACTGAACAAACGTTATTANGGCGTTTCGTTTGACACTTCCACTTTTGGAGAAGATCTCATCCGGTCGTTCAATAGAACGAACAACTAAATGCTGGACAATAAGATGAGCAAAAGATCGAAAAAATACTAACACTTACATATCCACACAACACCTTGCCTTCAAAACACCACGTGGTTCAATTACAGAATATTTCTTCGGTGCCGTGCACAGCACTAAAATGTGGATTGTCTATAATTGGAGCACTACAAATTTATCGTTAAGTAGCCCAAAATATCTCTCTCATTCAAAGCGCATATATGAGCGCATCAAATTGCAGTAGGCAACTTTCTCTGCCCTGATGAAGATAGAATATAGCTTGGTTGCACTCTAACAATTCCGTGATGAAGACTCTTAAGCTCAGTGCCGCTGTGCTAGATCACGTTATCCATTCAACATATCAGACTGGATTCTTTGAAGGCGTTTAAATTTTTGAGCAATTCATAGGAAACAAGAGATTCGGACGAGTACATTACTCGTAAGACAAAAATCATCATCGACATCAGCGGGGATTGGAGATTGATCTCCCCCTCCCTGTGCCCCTCTGCTCTTCACAAAACCCACTAACAAAACATGAGAAGGCAAACAGTCAAAACTGTACGAATAATAAAACCTTTGTAGGATAACGGAAAATCATAAGGATTGAAGAGAGTGATCAGTTGCTTATGAGTGCCCGACTGATTCGATATGATATCAATTGAGTTGACGTTCAAGAATACGGGCAGTGTGCCCGATGTTGCTTCATCCATATACACTCTAAGCCCTCTTCATCATCTAGCAAATTCCACCTTCATGGATTCACCTTCACCAAATCGCCACTAAAATTGATTCGCCATAATCCATTTTTATCCAGCGATCGTAAAGAAGACCGGTTGTCCTCGATCGGATTATAATATACAACGAATCAGAGAAGGGCACAAGTGACGAATAATCAATGTGAATTGAAATTTGCTTGACTAGAGCATAAAAAAACGAGTAAAAACTAGAGTAAACAAGTGAACGATGATGGTCGGTAATTTATAATCATTTGATAAGCATAATTCAGTAAAACATACTCCTCCTCCTACGACGACCACACAATATAGTTGTATGAATATGCTCATACAATACAATTAACAGAACAGGTTTGCCTTTCGAAGATCGGTTCAAAATAATTGATTCAATGAATACGGCAAATATATACATACGCATGCTTCGTTTGCATATGAACATCATAAGTATCGATTAATGAGAAACATAATGAAATGCTGATTGAAATGCATTCATAAATTCAGTCATGCTCTATTCTCAACAACAACAACAGCTGATTGATGCTTTCGTTTGAGAACCTTATTAGTTGCTTGCATAAAATCAAGGAATTCATCAAATGAACATGTTCATCAAATGAACATTCGATGCTAACAAGTCTCAAAGAATGCTCATTGTCAGCTTACAGACCTTTAATGTTCACGTTCAATCCTGTGTTCAGTAGTTCTAGACAAATCAAATTCACGCCTACTCTGCATCATCATTAAGAGCAAATATTCTGCACAAGATTTCATTTGCATACGATATCATCAAAACGGGATAACTTCCATGAGCATTATCGTTGTCATTCCAATTATTACAATCATTAATTTTATCATGTTTATATCTTTGTAAGCAACTGAAATACTTTTTCGTGATTCAAGTCATGAAATCTCGTTCGACTGCGGAGCAGCTAACAAATTGCAGAAAAAAAAGTGCAGCAAAAGATAAGATGAACTCGAAGTTATCGATAATCGCTTTGAGTTTTCGTGTTGATTGCTGCTGCTGCTANTGCTGCTGCTGCTACTGCTGCATCAAACAGCGAAATGAATCGTTAATAAAACATCAATTTATTTGCCTCCAATAAATTCAATCCAATAGAATTAAACAACACATTATTATTAAACAACTCGATAAACGATTAAACGAATGATTGAAGACCATAATAATAGTGTATTATTCATAACGTTAAACAAATTTCATAAATGAATGCTGCTAATAAAAACGAAAACATTTTCTTAAACAAACAAACAAACCAACAAAAAAAACAAACTGAATAATTCAAAAAATCATTCGTAAACAACAATCAATAAATAAGTTGAATATTGTGAAATCAACAACGACAATAAATCTGTTAATGCGATAATGCCGCAATGAAGAAGAAATCGTTTCAGTGAATTGTGTGCGAACGAATTCAACGCAACTGAAAGCAGCAAATCAATGAGTGAAATTTCAGTCAAACAACATCGGTCACATCGACAACACACACACACACACAAACATAAATTCAAACAAATGAATCGTCTTAAGCATTCACAATCTTAAAACTCAAGACAACAACAACAAACGACAATAATCAATGGAATAATCCTCGATTCGTCAGTTTTTTTGAATAGACATTTATAGGGAATATAGATTCTCAGACACCATCTGGAACTATTCAATCAGATAGACAACTACGAGAACAAGAGACGATTTATTCAAACGTGTTATTTGGATAAGCCAATAAAATGAAAATCAGGTTCAGCAACGAAGAAAAAAAGAAGAGAATTAAGACAGATCCTATCCGCAGATACGAAGACCACTAGAGCATGACAACATGAAAGGAGACAACATTTTCCTAGCATATCATCAAACTACTCTCTAAATCTTATAGTGATAACCAACAGAAGCATAAAGATTACGAAAGAAACATTTTTGTGATTCAGTAGAAAGTTTAAAAT